ACAGCCTACATGTATATACTGCCTTTTGTCTGCTGAAAAAAAAATACCCTATGTATATTAATTTCCCCTATTTAAATTAATTCTTATAGAGGAATTGAATTGGTTTAACATCATTCTCTTAAAGTAGCATTCTTCAGAAGCATAACAACGTTACGCAAGGAGTTCCTATGCTGGCAAACATGACACTTTTAAACCCCCAAACTAAGCATTTTTATATACTAGCATATGGTAGATGAGAGAATCTCTAACGTCAGCTCATGAGTTTTATGCACAGGGAACCAAAGCTTTAACGACAGATGCGCTGTAAATGTTGAAAGTTAGGAAGGGGTCCAAACTACCACGATATATGCTAAAGGTCTAGGGGCAAAGTGCGTTCTCCCTGCCCAAGATAAATAAGACTATCCAGCTGCACTATCCAGCTGTACTCACTCAACTATTTTGTCACCAAGGTAGCTTAGCAATATACTTTCAAGGCTAGCTGATTACTGGTAACAAACTAATGAAGACAGTAGGCTGCTTTAATTGGTGCAACGGGTTGCATGAGGATGGGGTGGAGTTGGAACTCTTCTCAAGATGGTCTGGAGGCTTATTTGGGACTTGACTGGGAGCAAAGATTTGAGTGATGCTCCAGAGGGTGGGGGAAGCCTCTCTGGGGAGTGAGAGCCTTCAAGGCTGAAGATGCATCGTGGTGTGGGGGTAAGCGATTAGGCCGACACGTTCGTAAGCTTTTGAGGTTTCCAATTCTGACACCTTAACGAAGCCCAATTTCCAGAGAGCAGGTGCTCTACCCTTTTTGAAGATCAGGCCCCGTTAAGCTGTCTGACGGTTCGCACCCAAAACTAAAAATCATGAGTCACTGTTGGCCTCTCAGCCTGGGAGTGTCCTCTCCTACCCACGAGAGGAGTCCAGTCGCGGATCAGAGTCGCCAACCCAACAGCTGCCTGAGGAAAAGGTAAACTGGAAATGCATAAGGTCTCCCACGGAACCGACGTTAGCTGGAAGATTCGCCGTTCTATTGAAGTCCTGGGGAGGGTAACAAGTTTCCCTTTTACAAGAGAGTTTGCTGTTAAATTTAGATGTCCTATTTTCCTCATTCCCACTACCTTGGCAAGGGCGTGCAGCCTTCCCTACAAGGCCTTCTGTCGTACAGTCTGTTATGATTTACTTCCCCCCAACAAATGTCTCAGCTTATAAGGTCTGTCTGTTCTTCCCATTTGCAATATTGGGCTTCGCTCTTAAATGGTTATCATCAGCATTTCATGCTTGCTCTTGGCTTCCCATCGGATGGCTCTCCACATCCTCTAGGGCTTAGGAGCCTGCAGTACATCACGTCACTTCGGAATAAGCAAAGTGCTACCATCTGATTTAGATTTGTAAGCTGCCTGGTATGTCCAAAAGAACTTCTATTGAAATTCAACTGTTTCCATCCAGTCTATTTTAAAGGCACCAGGTTGCTCCTTGTAATCAATTTGTTCAGCTCTTTTCTTGTTTGTCAGGCTCTCACAGTATCGGGCCCATAGGTCAACATGTTGCCAGGCTAACGCCAGGTGAAAGAGAAAAATGACTGAATGACAGTATTGCCGTGTGTCACCCGGTCGGCTCCCTGCGTGCACTCAGAGCCAACCTGCTCACAAGGCACGTTTCTTTTAAAAGGTACATTTGACGCTCCTTAGACTGGTGCAGCCTCAGTAGCCAGGAGCTGGAGTCTGCTCTGGTTCCTCTATCATTTAACACAATCCTTGTGAATGGCTCCTTGGATACTGGGCATGTTGCAGACATCAAGAAGAGCCCAGGTTGACTCTCGGAGGTCAGGCTGAATTCATGGAGCTGGCTGTTGGGGATGTAGGGGGAAACCCTCGTCAACTAAGCACTTGTGCTACACAGAGGCAAGAATTATGGAACCTCTCCAAGTTACGTCTCCCCCCTCCCCAGGTGTCCTTCAGAATCTCACTTCCAAAACTGCAATCCCAGAAAGCATTTGACCTCACTTGGTCTCCTGCAGTGGGACTTGTGCATTGTACCTACAGCTTTCGCACTAGTGAGGAGTCTGGGGGACACACTCTACCTCCAGCCCTCCCGCACGTCCAGCTCCAAATCTTAGCCTGAGGCTAACAGACCCAAGCACGCTTATTGGCACTCACGCCGAGAAGCCATGCTGGCTGTCGCTCTTTGCTCCCTTCCTCCTGAGATGGGCACGTCCCTTCACCCCTGTCCCAGTTTGTCTACGGGTAAAGCAGAGAGGAGCCAATAGTATTATCTTGCTGAAGTGCACTGATACCAATGAAACTGACACGAATACTAGTTGTTATGGGCTAGAGCATGGGTTCCCAAACTGGGGGGCATGAAGAAATTCAAGGGGGGGGTGCGAGGTGACCCAGCCCCACCCCCCCCACTCCCCACCTGCCCCGGTCGGGGGTGGGTGTTGTGCGGTTGTTTTTTTTTCTCGACAAGTGTTGCTATTTGGGGGGAGGGGGTGAGGGTTTTTCAAAAATCAAAAAGGGGGTGTGATGCCAAAAAGTTTGGGACCCACTGGGTTAGAGCCTCAATCCTACAAAGCTCAAGAGGTGCACATGGGCCTTACTTTCCAGTAAGGCTGTGAATGCTTAACCGGATAACTGGTTTGGATTAACTGGCGGGGGCTTTGTGATGCATCTGAACCAGAAATTCAGACCGAATAGTGCTGTGGATCCAGGTGGACTAGAATCAATTCAGAAACTTATGGGGACTTCCTCAGTGACCCTCCCCTAGTTTACACAATGCTAACTGACATTCTCGCACCTTCCAAGTCCATCTCCTCGAGACACACCTGAGTTATACAATTTAGCTGTGGGTCTCACCTCTCCCCGAGTTCAGGAGTGTTTGTGCAACGGAACCAAACCTGAGCCTCTCCCGCTTGAGCTAAAAGCCAGCTGGCTCTCAACGAAGGCTGGATCATAGAATCCCAGGGCTGGAAGAGACTTCAAGAGGTCATCAAGTCCAGCCCACTGCCCAAAAAGGGCCCACCCCAACTAGAGCAAAGTCATTCTGTAGAGGAGGGGAGGCCTACCTGTGGCTCTCCTGAAGATAATATGTGTCTCCTGGCTCAGGCACTGACTCCAGGGGTGCAGCTACAGGTGCCAACTTCCCAGTGCTCAACTCCTGGCTCCACCTCCTCCTCCTCCAAGTGTATTGCACCCTTGCTCCTTCCCTCCCCCACAGAGCCTCCTGAGGGCCACGAAACAGCTGATCGCAGTGGGCAGGAGGCGCAGGGAAGGAAGAGGAGGCGCTGATCAGTGGGGCTGCTGGTGGGCAACAGATACTGGAGACAGGAGAGGAGGCACCTGATGGGACTGCTGTCAAATCACTGTAGCTCTTTGGTAATGTACATTGGTAAACTGTGGCTCCTTCTCAGGCTGGCCACAAACTCATTCTTTCTCTCTCTAAGTAGTCTCAGTGCCACTACATGGGACAACGAGTAGTCCTGTACCACCTTAGAGACTAAAAAATAAAAGCCTCTCTGAGACCTTACTACATGGGGCAGTACACCACACCCAGTAGGAGTGTGGGTTACCTTTGCAATAAGCTGGAGAAGTAAGAAGTTGGATTGCACCTATGTCTAGTATCTATGGTTGTTGCAAATGGCAGTCAATAATCTAGGCAAGATATGAATCTGATCCCAGGTCTGGGAACCAAATCCTCTTAATGTTTTTAGTTTGTCTTTAATGGATTTCCTCCATAGCACTTAGGTCCTCCAGTCCTGGTCTAGCACTCCCATTGTGCTAGGTGCTGTACAAATACGGGATAAAAAGACAGTCACTGCCCATCTATAATATGAGGAACGACCCACGTCCCAATGTATTGTGAGGTGGTTAATTAACATTTATGGTGCTCTCTAAGACTATGTCAACACAGCAGTGTTATTTTGGAATAACTGATGTTATTCTGAAATAATCTGGTCCGTGGCTACCCACAAGCAGTAATTTTGACATACAGGCAGTCCCCGACTTACGAGCGGGTTACATTCTGAACACCTGGTCATAGCTCGATTTGGTCATAAGTTGGAAATACCCTTAAACGCGTTGCCCGTGCTGTTCGAAAAACTTGACATACATTGTTCTCAACTTGAAAGTATTATAATGGAGTTAATGGGAGGTTGGTCGTAAGTAGGGATGGTTGTAAGTCGGTGTGTTCGTAAGTTGGGGAGTGGCTGTAATGCCAAAATAATGTTGAGCTGGAGGACTTCTTACTCCGATTCCTGTACTCCTCATTGTACCAAGAGTAAGGGAAGTCAGGGGAAGAGTGCTGTATCTCGAGATAACTGTGGCGTAGGCAGCGCCAAAAGTCAAAATAAGCTATTTCAACGTAAGCTATGTTGGCTCTGATGGCTCAAGCCAAACCCTGGCATGCAAACCCCAATGAACATTCAGATCTGAATACCTTCCCTCGGGCTGTTCTTTTGAGTTCATGACTCCTCTTTGACCTCCCAATGTGATGCTAAGGCAAATAGGGAACAGAACTGTAGAGTACTGGGGTCGGATGGGTGAGTCAGTTACAAGAGAGCTGCACCACATCCTGTAATCATGAAAACCAAAACAAAAAAAAAAGCCGTTATTTCTCCATCTACCGTTGCTTGGGGGGAGTAGTCTGTAACAGGAAAGGGATTAAAGTCCCATGCACTCCCAGAAACCCACAGCAATCCACAGACTGACCTAGACAATGCATTTTAATTTCACAACATCCACTCTGCGCTAACGAGCAATTTTTGTTACCCTGGGATGAGTTTCGCCTTCTGAGAAATTAGACACAGCGACATGCTGCTCCTGACAGCAGGCCTGCCCCAGACAGATGAATCAGAATAGTAACTTTAGCAATTTCCACTGCCCTCTGTATTATCCCAACACTGTAAGTGTTCGTTCTTCCTGCCTGTGTTGCATTGCTGTCACTGTGCTGCCAGAGAGCCTGGGTTGTATACTTCCATTACATACCACACAACCCCCACCCCCTGGCCATCTAAGGAGACACTGAGTGCAGTGCTGCACCCAGGAGTGAATGTCTAGGAAGAGCAAGCATCTACCCCTCGCAGAGAAGAACTGTCCAGAGGTGCAGAGGGAAACGCTGATAAATGTTTGTGCAAACAGAAAACTTTACCTCTTGTATTCAGGAGCTCCGCCCACTACAGTCAGAAGCCACAGAGCCTGTGTGTGGTGGTGGATTAGGCATTTGCATAGAAGAGTACTAGTCCTGCTGCATCAGCCATGGGGCTCAAACTCAGGGAGAAAGCTGCTTCCTTCTTCTTTGAATATGACACTCCTCGGATGGTGCTTGTGCAGAACAAGAAAGTGGGACTCATCTTCCGGCTGATCCAGCTCGTGGTGCTTGGATACATCATAGGGTAAGGCTTTTCTAGCTTATTCATAGTGTTCAGGGAGAAACTCTTCTGAACCTGCCAGATACCACAACTGCTGGCCAGCCACACAGTCAGTTCTCGATTGGCTCAGCGATTTGAATTTCTGTTCAGCTCCTTCTGGGTGAGAAGTAAAACCCTGAGCGAGGCATTGGCCAGATTCTAATGTTGTGGGTAATGAGATTGTGCTTCCTTACATCCCCCAAACAGTTTCAGCTGGGTACAATATTCTCTTTGTCGAGTCGTGTTCCACTGCACTGTTAAACAGTCGCTGTGTCAAACCCCAGAGGTGGCTGCATGTCAGTGATGACAAACACAGTGTATAAAATTTGTAAATCATGGTAGGCTCACTGGAAGAAAGGCTTTCTATAACGGGCTGATCCAAAGCTCTTTCTGTGATTGGTTCAGGCCCTCAATACCTGCTGCTGCTGCGCTTTTCAGTATATTAAAAGAAAAGCAGCCAGGGGTGGCTTTGTAATGTGTGCTCCCCAAGCGGCTGAAAGAGGGAGGAGGAAGGGAGAGGAAGGAGGCCGTATATTTTCCCCCCTCTCTAGTTCTTTTTCCCAAGAGGGAGATGAGACCAGCTTATGGGTTAAAGAATGAACCTGTGTTGTGGCATCCCCCGAAAAGCAAGGGGCAAATGTCTGTTTTGCTTTGCTTTGGCTTGAGGCCCGGCCTGAAGGCAGTTAAAACTCAACAGAAACTGTTTTAAACCACGAGTAAATAGAGCAAAGACGTCTAGAGCTCCTGACTGAAACTCAAAGGCAGGTCCCTGGGGGAACATGTGCGCTACAGGATAACACGGAAACATAGAATCATAGAACACTAGAACTGGAAGGCACCTCGGGAGGTCCTCGAGTCCAGCCCCCTGCCCTCTTGGCAGGACCAAGCACTGTCTAGAGCCGTGTTTCTGAAAGTGTATCACAGAAACACTTTAATTGGCCACCCAAGTTTGTTTATGTACCGGCGCCACAGCCATAGGGCCCCATGGCTCCCTTTGGCTCCGTTTTGTCCTTTGCAGCCAAGGGGAGCCGCGGGAAGTGCGGCTGCAAAGGACAAAATGGAACCAGTGGGAGCTGTGAGGCCCTGTGGCCGTGGCACTGGAACATAAACATACCGGGGAGGCCAGTTAAAATGTTTCTGAAAGCGTTTCTGAGGTATATTTTCAGAAGCACTTTCTAGATCAGGCATGTCCAAAGTCCGGCCCGTGGGCCAATTGCGGCCCGTGTTCCGGTTTAATACGTCCCCCGCTTCCTCCCCCTCTCCTGGCTCCCCGGCGCTCTTTTGAACTGGTGCGCCCAGCGCGCCGCTTCCGGCCGCGCCGCCGCCGCCCATGGCCTCCGCGGTCCTAGAGCCTGCCCTGTAGGGCACGTCTACAGCCCCGCTCCCCCGCTTGGCTGCGGATTCGCCCTGCCTCCAGGCCGCCGTGAGACCAGCGTGCCCTGCGCTCTCCGCCCGCCTCCAACCCCGCGGGCCCTCCGCCTTGGGGCTGAGAGTGCGGGGACGGCCCTCACGCATGTTCACTTCTTCAAATCTGGCCCTCTTTGAAAAAAGTTTGGACACCCCTGTTCTAGATCATCCCTGACAGATGTCTAGCCAACCTGCTCTGAAATATTTCCAGTGATGGAGATTCCACAACCTCCCTAGGCAATTTATTCCAGTGTTTAGCCACCCTGACAATTGGGAAGTTTTTCCTCGTGTCCAACCTAAATCTCCCTTGCTGCAATTTAAGCCCACAGCTTCTTGTCCTATCCTCACTCACCTCCTTGTAACACCCTTTTAGAATAAACAAACAAACAAAAAAGAACACACACAACCCTTACTCACAAACACAGCTCAGCATACAGCAAGAAAGCCCCAAGCACAACACCCACTTCTCCCAAGACTCCTGTAAAATGTATGTTGCTACCACAGGCCATGAAAAGTCTAGGTTTACTGTAATGCTTTCTTGCATGGCTGAAATATTGTGTTCAAGTGCAAGACAATGCCAAAGAATATTATATTCCCAAACACCGTTCACGTGCGTGTTCACCCTAAAGCCTGGATTGACGAAACTTTAATGCTTGATTGGCTACAGACAGTTTGGGTGAAGCGGCCGGGTGGACTTATGAGAACTCTTCTAGATCCACTATGGCCCCCTAGATCCCTTTAAGGTTGAATTAAGATATGTAACTTCGGCTATGTTAATTGTGTAGCTGAAGTCGAAGTACCTTCACTTGACTTTTGCGCTGTCCACACTGCAGTAAGTTGAAGGGAAAACACTCTTCCTTAGACTTCCTTTACTCCTCATAGAATCAGGACTACTGGCATGGACCGAAGCAGCCTCTCCCAGTTTGAATTAGCATGTCTCCACTAGCCCCGCTAATTCGAACCCTGGAAGTTCGACAGCGGCAGCTGTAGTGTAGATATATCCTGGAAGTTTAGAGCTGTTTAGAGCTGCAGAAGGATCTCACAGCGAGTGTTCCCATGCCCTGAGTTGTCTGAGAAGTCTTCAGCACAAGTTTGTTTTTAAAAACTGGTTCTGAAGCAGCCGCCCCCAGCAGCTCTCAAACTCTGTAGTGTGGCACTGGGTGTGTTTCAAAAAGATGGCAGAATCCCTGCATCATGTACCCAATAGGCCTTGCTGCCTATTGAACATTCTCACCACAGTGCATGTGGGCCAGGCCAATGCTGAAATACACTGGTGGAGCCAGTCAAGTCCATGCACCAGCCTCCATCTCTGGGCAGGCCAGCTAAGGGGCCTGGTTAGCTCATCTCTTGCAGCCTCCCCTGGTGAGGCGCCTGTGAAGCGTCCAGAGGAACTTAAATTTCAATTCAAGGATGGGCGCCTTGAAGGAGGGCAGCCATGGGAGTAGCAGGCCACTGCCAGCTCCCGTAGCTATTTGCATCTCCCTGCACCAGTGGGGATGGGCCTGGTGAGGTACATTCAATGGTGGAACACTGTGGATTTCCCACATGTACATAGAGTTGCCAGATGGTTTAACAAAAAATACCGAATCCCCTCCTACCCCATCCCACCCCCCCCAAAAAAACCCAACGGGAAAAAATTTTGTTGGGGGGGGGGGGGGGAAGGGGAGACCAAAGTTAAGCCAAAAAAAAAAAGGTGCTGTGCCTTTAAATGGCCCCACGCTCCTCACTCCCCTGCCCCTGCCAGACACATTAGGGGAAAATTGTCCCCTCTGGGCTTCCGTTCAAGGGAAACGAAATACTGGACATTTCACATGTCTAGTATTTTCTGTTGTATTTGTTTGTTTTTTACCGGACGGGGGACCCAAATACTGAACTGTCTGGGCAAAAACCGGACTCCTGGCAACCCTACATGTACACGGAAGATGGGCAAAGCCCCTAAAAATGGGCCTTAACTCCTCTTAGGAAATACCTCCCGGAGGGTTTCTAGGACAAGGCCCTAGCTTTCCAGAGCAGAAGGCCTGTCACTTCACATGCATATTGATGGGAGATTGGGTTGTTTAGCTCCAGTTTGTGGATGTTCTGGTCTAGTCACAATTAGCAGGAGGGGCAGCAGGTGAATCCCTTTTGTCCCCAACTAATAATGTCTTAGCGGACAGAGCAGCAGCCTCGCACGGGGGGGCTGATTGCTGGCATGGGGACAGCACAGGCCTGGGGTGGCCAAACTAGAACATAGATGAAAACTCACGTTCTGTGCAAGCACGGAAACGGCGGTGACAGATTAATTGATTTATTAAGTTTTGGTTTGTCGCCCACTCCGCTCTTTTTCTGACCAGCCCCATCCTTAATCTGAACTGGGGCGGGGGGAGGCTATTGCAGAACCAGACACAAACCAGAGATGTCAGGGAAGGGGAATACTTCCTGCAGTACCATGCCATGGGCAGGCAGCAAAGCCTCTGCACTGCTCCAAAGCCAGAATCCAGTCGTTTTTTCCTTTTAACCTCAGCAAGTCAGTGTAATAAAGGCTGGCTGCATAAGCAATAAAAACAGCTGCCAGGCAGGTAGAAGGATAGTTCTAAACCCACTACCCAACCCCCACCCCCCACCCCCAACACCTAACTGGCTTGAAGACGAGACTTAAGTTCATGGAAGGGACCATGACGTAGCTCTTAGCAGCAAGTATTCCCAGTGGCCAGTGATGCAACACTAGATGGGAAGGGCTCTGAATTCCTATGGAGAATTCTTTCACGGGTATCTGGCTGAAATGCTCCAGGTCTAACTGATCGCCATATTTGGGTCAGGAAGGAATTTTCCCCCAGATCAGATTGGCAGAGATTACGAGGTGAGGGAGGGGGTGTCATCTTCCTCCACAACAAGGCACATGGCTCACTTGCGGGTTTAAAGTAGTGTAAATGGTGAATTCTCTGTAACAGAGGAAGTCTTTAAATTATAAATTGAGGACATCAGTAACTCAGACAGAGGTTATGGTTCTGTTCCAGGAGTGTATAGGTGAGCTTCTATGGCCTGTAATGTGCAATAAGTCAGACATTTTCCTACTAGAAGCAAACTCAGTATTAGCACACTGAAAAAAACAGAGGCCGCTTTATATTTCTGTAGCTTCCTCTTCCTTGGTACCCTGTTATCTATGCACTTCCTAAGATAGTGTTATCAATGCATCTCAAACATATGCAGTTCACATGGGCCTGAGGGTTTTCCCCAACTTAAAAGTTTACACGCAAAGAGATTTCTAACTATGGGGAGACTGAACTGATTCATTTGTGTTTTCCCTCGTGGTGCCCTACTGGAGTTGCTTTTATCCAGGGGAGGGTTCAGAAGGAAGTGAGTGTTAGCATGCACCATGTGAAAAAATGATCCCTTTGTTTGTCTTGGTGTGTGCTGAGTGCAGAATGCAGGTAGCAGATACAATGCATTTTATCCCAGGCTGTCCTAGCAACAGTAAGGCTTAGCCTGAACCCAAATCTTCAATCTGAGCATTCCCAGATACTGGAGGTTATTATAGAAGGGTACATCTACACTAGCCCCCTCATTTGAACTAGGGAGGCTAATGAGGGTGACCATGG